CCCAAAGGGCTGGTGGGATTCGGCCCTCTCCGCGTACGCTTTTCACACATGATTTTCAAACGCTTATAGTTCTCATGTGCTTTTAAAATCCGATTGTTTTCGGCGGTCCACGGTGGTGCCCCAGCTGCAGCGTGGGCCACTCTTCTGCACACTACTCCTCTTTCATCGTTGCTGCCCCACTCGTTTCCTTTCTCCGCCTTCTTCCTGCTCCTCCCACTCCTTCCGCTCCAATTCCAGCGGTTGCTGCTGTTCGTCCTCGTGCTCCCTCCTCCTCATCTTCCTCCTTTGTCTCCTGCTCGTCCTCCTGCTCACTCGCCACCTTTCCCTCTCATGTACGCAGCTTTCCTTTCCCGAGTGCGCAGAACAAGATCGGACATGTTTTGGAGGTCCGGGTCGACTCTGACACGCGTCCGCGGATCGATACACCTATCAAGGCAATGGGAAGGGATGGGAGCGAGGGATACATGGCGGTCGTTGAAAGTTCGGCACTTTTGGATGCTCAAGTCCCAGTCTACTTCAGGCGCCCTCCTGCTTCAAGAGCCGAGTGGTTTCCCTCTTCCCTCCACTTCAGGGGGGGGCGTTCGGAGGCCCCATCCGCTTCCCACGCCTTCCTGCTTCATGGTTCTGCCCAGGGGCCACGCCGATCTGCTTCCAGCGCCAACGCCAATCCACTTCCAACGCCTTCCTACTGCATGGCTCTGCCCATGGTTCCAACGCCAATCTACCTCCAACGCCTTCCTGCTTCCAACGCCGTCCGACTGCTGGGTAGGGGATGTAAGACGCATGTGGACGGAGCTCCCTATGGGGCCACGAAACGTGCGAGTGGTGTGACGTGCCGAAATGTATGTGGACGGTGCCACTGGGGCCTTGGGTGGAGCTTCCCGTGGGGCCACGAAACGTGCGAGGGGTGTGTCGAAATGGAGTGGCGGACGCATGTGGGCGGTGCTTCTGGGGCCTTCGGTGGAGCTCCCTGCGGGGCCACGAAACGTGTGAGGGGTGTGCCGAAATGGGTGTTGCGGACGCACGTGGACGGTGCTTCTGGGCTTTTTTTGGGTGTTTTTTTTTTTTTTTGTCTTTTTTTTTTCTTTTTTTTGTTTTTTTTTTTTTGTTTTTTGATTTTTTTTTTTTTTTTTTTTTTTTTGTTGTTTTGTTTTTTTTTTTTTGTTTTTTTTTTTTTTTTTTTTTTTTTTTTAGTTTTTTTGTTTTTTTGTTTTTTTTTTTTTTTTTTTTTGTTTTATGTTTATTTTGTTTTTTTTTTATTTTTTTTTTTTTTTTTTTTTTTTTTTTTTTTTTTTTTTTTTTTTTGTTATAGTATTTTTTTTTTTTTTTTCTTTTTTTTTTCCTTTTTTTTTTTTTTTTTTTTTTTTTTTTGTTTTGGGTTTTTTTTTTGGGTGGGGTTCCCTATGGGGCCATGAAGCGTGTGAGGGGTGTACCGAAATGGGTGTGGCGGACGCATGTGGACCGCGCATTTGGGGCCTTGGGTGGAGCCTCTATATTGGGGCACGAAACGTGTGAGCGGTGTGCCGAAATGGGTGTGGCGGACGAATGTGGACAGTGCATTTGGGGCCTTCGGTGGAGCTTCTTGTGGGGCCACGGAACGTGTGAGGGATGTGCCAGAATGGGTGTGACAGACGCATGTGGACGGTGCCTCTGGGGCCTTGGGTGGAGCTCCTAATGGGGCCACGAAGCGTGTGAGGGGTGTGCCGAAATGGGTGTTGCGGACGCATGTGGACGGTGCCATTGGGGCCTTCGGTGGAGCTCCCTATAGGGCCACGGAACGTGTGAGGGGTGTGCCGAAATGGGTGTTGCGGACGCACGTGGACGGTGCTACTGGGGCCTTGGGTGGAGCTCCCTATGGGGCCACGAAGCGTGTGAGGGTGTGCTGAAACGGGTGATGACGATGCTGATGATGAGATGAGGAGCGAGTGGGCAGCGGGAGGAGGAGGAGGAGGAGGAGGAGGAGGAGGAGGAGGAGGAGGAGGAGGAGGAAGAGGAGGAGGAGGAGGAGGAGGAGACGGAGGAGGAGGAGGAGGAGGAGGAGGAGGAGGAGACGGAGGAGGAGGAGGGAACGCGGGGACCTCTCTTCAAAACGAGGCCCCAGCGCCACAGGATGGTTGGCACAACTGATTCGAACACGCCGGGTTAAACACTGTGGACAACGCCTTGGGCATGTTCAGGAAGATCCAAGCTCAAGGCATTGCTCTGTTTGGCTCAAGCCAGTGCTTGGGGGCTGCCGTTCCCTCGGTGCGGGGTCTCAAGTGTCGAAAGGCTCTGCCCCTTCCACACGTTCTATATGCATACCATCAGAAGCATGGCGTTCCGTCTCGGCGTTGGGGGCGGCGCAGGCATCGAAGTGGACGGCATCGGTGGCGACAATGCCGTCTTGGCGCAGGGCTCGTTCAATTCAAAGGTGCGAACATCTCCAGCAGCGGCGACGGGTGCATGATCTCTGGCGTCCCTTCGGCGTCGCTGATATTCCCTCCCAACTCTCCTGTGGTGGTGGGTGCTCGTTTTGAGGAGACGTCCCCGCTTCTCACTCCTTCCTCCGAGGCCCCCCCCCCTCCTCCCTCCTCCCAGCCTTGCCTCTGCCCTCCGCGCGACCCTTTTGGCGCCATGTCGGCTCACCCCTCAGGCGCTTCGTGGCCCCAGTACGAGGGCCCCGAGTTCCCCCCCGTGCGCCTGGGTTCGCATGCGTCCCCTCGAATCATGTCGGCACCGTATGCTTCGTGTCTTCAGAGGGGGCCCTTCCGAGGCCTGCGTGCGCCTGGCTTCGTCTGCGTCCCCTCCCGCCCGCGCCCTTTCGGCGCACCTCTCACGCGTGTTGTGGCCCCGTAGGGAGCTCTTCCGAACAACCCCCCAGTGGGAGGGTCCACATGCGGCCGCCCGTCCGACTACGGCACGTCCCTTGCACGTTTCGCCGCGGCCACGTGGGGAGCTCCCCCGAAGGTAAGGCTCCTCTGGCAGGGTTCGCGCGCGTCCCCGTGCGCCACTTCGGCACACCCTTCGCAGTCTTCGGGGCCCCTATCGGGAGCTTTTCCGGAAGCCCCAGCGACAGGGTTCCTATGAATCCCCCTGCGCGGTTTCGGCACACCTCTCACGTGTTCTGTGGCCCCGTTGGAGCTCCTCCGAGTGCCCCAGTGGCAAGGCTCGCGTGGTGTGGCCCCCCAAAAGTGACGCGCGGGTGTGGCCCCCCAAAAGTCGCGCGTGGTGTGGCCCCCCAAAAGTGACTCCGAAGGCTCCAGTGGCAGGGTTCGCGTGCGCCCCCACGCGCCATTTCGGCACACCATTTCCACGCTTCGCGGGTGGCAGGGTTCGCGTGCGTGCCCCCCGCGCCATCTCGGCACCCCTCACGCGTTCCGTGGCCCCATCGGGAGCTCCTCCGGGGACCCCAGCTGCAGGGTTCGCATGCGCTACCCCGCACCATTTCAGCGTGCCCTTCGTACGTTTCGCGGCCCAGCAGGGAGCTCCGAAGGCTCCGGTGGCAGGGTTCGCATGCGTCCACCCGCACTATTTCGGCACATCTCCCACACGTCTCGTGGCGTCATGACGAGCTTCTCTGGAGGCCCCAGTGGCAGGGTTCGCATGCGCCCCCCAGCCCCATGCCGGCACAACCCTCACAGTCTTCGTGGCCCCATAGGCGGGTCCACCGAATGCTCCAGCGGCAGGATTCACATTCGCCGCCCCGCGCCATTTCGGTACATCCGTTCACACGCTTCGTGGCCCCATGGGGGGCTCCACCGACGGCCGCAGTGCCTGCGTTCGCATGGCGCCACCGCGCCCATTTCGGCACACCCCTCGCACGCTTCGTGGCCCCGAAAAGAACATCAGTCGAAGCGGTACCCGCAACGCGGTATTGGCAGTTGCACACATGGTTGGGCCCTTCGCCAGGATATGTTTCCAACTTGCGTGTGTTAGCCTCGCCATGGCGTGGTTGGTTGGCAGCAGAGGCCTTCTGGAGTCACATGCGGCGTTCCAGAACTCATATGGACACGTAGAGCGGGCCCGTGCCGCTGAGTTTTGCTCTGCAGGCGGCCGCTTACTCAATGTTTGGTTGTATTTGGCCTCTACAGTCAACCATAACAGTATGGATGGGGCCGCTTTCCAAGGGAACCCTTGTATCCTTGCCTCCTCGGCCCATCCTTGGCCACTTTCGTTGGCCGCGCCCCGCTCGAAGAGCTTCGAAATGGGCTTCCAAGGCCCTCGCATCCTTATCGCGCATCCTTACTATACTGGTTGACTGTATTGCGGTTGAAGTGCTAGGCCCCCCTTCCCCATTTGGTGTCCATGGTACCACACCGCTTGACGCCAGCGTGCATCCGGCGCATGTTACTCAGTTGGTTTGAGCGTGGAGGGGATTCCCTCGGCTACGGCGGTTTCAGGCTCCGCGTCGGGAACGGTGGGACAGTCTCAGGTGCTGTGTCACATGGCGTGCGCTTGCTCAGGTGGCTGGCAGGTTGCGGCTGTTTCCTGGAATGTATGAACTGATGCTGGTGTCTATGTCGCGACGCCGTTTGGCCCCGAGGGTCGGATAGCGTGTTTTTTTTCAACCAGTGTTGTGACGCAACATTGGCAGTGGTGTTCCTCGTCATCGGCACCGCGCTCACGAGTTTGGTACGGAGATGCACGCAAGAGGACGTCGGGAAGGTTCTATCCTACATGTTTCTTTGTATGTGCGCGTTTCGCGATGCGGGGCCCACGCTCAGAGGCCCCAGACGTTCCAAAGGAAAAAGGAGGAGGAAAGGAAGTGAAGGAACACGAGAAGGAAGTGGAGGAGGAGGAAAAGGAAGTGGCGGAGGAGGAATGGAATGGGCCGGAATGGGCTCCGTCTTTTGTGGGATGAATGCTACAACTGCCTAAGGCCGCACCTGAGCTCACCCGCGAAGTGGACGAACCAGAATATTGACCCGAGCGAAGGGGTCTTGACTGGAGCCTTCGGAAGACGAGCACCGCCGTGCATACGTCAGATGGATCCTTCACCACACACCGATAACGTAGCAAAC